CATATGGTCAAGCCAAAAAAAAAAAAATCAACATTAACCACTAGTTGAGAGAAAAGCACAGACATCTCTGAAGAAATGCTCAAAGCGCTGCCCTCTGCATGTTTGTCACAAACAGGATAGTCTGTATTTCAGCTATGCCATGTTTGTTTGGTTTTTTTACAGCGTTGCATTCTGCCAAAACCTCAGTGCTGCTCTGTGATTGGTCAGTGTGGACCTGTTCAAACACTTCAATTGGAGCTGAACAAGACAAATCCTCACGACTTTGTGAACTCACAAAAAAAATGTGAGCCTTCATCTGGGTGGTAGGGCTGCTTTATAATTATAGATGAAGACAGGGCACAGCTGACTTATCTGGACTTATTTTGACCCCAGAAACTGCTGGGGTAAGATACATTTGACTTTTCTACAAGAACTTTGCGGCCCAGCCCATTTCAAACACATTGTTATGTGAGTGAGAGTGTATAAATCACTGCTGCAGTCAGATGGTCTGCTCCACACGTGTAATTATCTCTGATGAAGCCCCAGTACTGCAGATCATATCACAAACTTCACAAACTATCACGTGTTTCCCTGTAAACCAGAGACTACAGCGCCTTTGTGTTTTAAACAGTGATCAGGCTCAGACGGCGCCCCCTACCTCCTGCTGTGTGTATAATTACCGTGGCGACACTTATCATTACAGTACAGGAGATGGTTCAAGTGAGGCTCAGACACAGGAGCTGGAATAAAGCCAGACTTAAAAACACGAGTCGAGATCAGAGGAGCAGCGGTTCTCAACACGTGGTCTGAGGCTGTCATTAGGGGAACATGAATCAGGAGGGTGAGAGTTTAAATTGGTACAGGCAAGAGAACTGCAATGAAATATTACTAGTACTGGTACTTCGGACTAGTAGCCGCCTTAGACGTTCTAGAAAGTGAAAGGTTAAAGATGCCTTGTGTGACATTTTGATTTGGGTTTGCGTTGCCTGAAAACGTATCTATCTTGACAACATTAGTCCCTCCTCCCGCAAATTTCCGTTGGGCATCTTTAAGTTGTAGGGCTCAACAATGCAGCAAATCAACTTTAGCACCATAGCAACCGTCATTCACCTGCTGACACCGAAACAGTAATTTCATAGTAAAGATTGATTTTGCTCCACAGAACTCTTCTAACTGACTCGGTTTGCCTTTTTAATTTTCTCGCGAGGTGCCAGATCTGGAGTGGCGTTTGTCAGCGAGCCACGAGCACTTCACAAATAAACCGCATTACCCAGAGTGCTTTTAGGCTCCTTCAGCTCGACTTCCTGATCTAATAAACCCACACGGCTCCATTTT